GTGGAACGCGGGAGGAGGCGGCGGCTTCCCTTACAGTGGGAATTCACCGAGGCGACCAACACCGGCTTCCCCGAACATCTGATACACGGGGGGGCTGCCCTCAGGAGGCACGCACCACACCCCGGGTGCGAGGCGCAGAGGCTGAGGCATAAAAACGGGCTGCGCGGCCAACATTGGCGGTTCTTGCTGCGAGTGAGGATGGAGCTGCTAAAGGGGGAGCTGCTCCTGAGGGGGTTGCGCGGGAAGAATTTGCTGAAGAGGATGTACCGGAGGTGCGACAGGGAGCGGAAGAGCGTTGGCAGGAGGGTGAGGCGCCAGGTCGAGGGGGGGAGGGAGTTGGCTCACGGATGGCACGACTGGGCCATCAGGGCGCGCCAACGAGCGAACCCTGTTGGGAAGCCCACCAAGCGCACGTTCCATGGCTGCAGTCACTGCAGCTATCGCGGCTGCATTCGCCGCCGCCACGGCCGGCGCTGGCTAATGAGAGCGCCAACGACGAAGAGCACGTCAGTAGCGCGGCTGCCCGCTCCTGCCACCCTGATTTCGCAGAGGCGGGGAGGGACGCCGTGGTGACGCGGGATGCGGAGATTCCTGGCGACGGGGAGACGACGCCTGGCTGCGCGGGCCCTGCGCCGTATCGGTCCTGAGCGCAGGAGACGGTGACGGGAGCCGCGACGGTGGACTACGACGCTCCCCATGCGCCCGCGACGGAGAGCGCTTCCGCCCACGGGTTCGCGACCTCGCCATCGTTGGGGCAGGGACTGGGTCGTCGATGGTGGACTCCGCAGGGACGCTCGACTTTGCAGCAATCCGCGGACGCCCAGGTTCAACGCGCCACGACAGCGCCAGAGCGGGTACGGCGGGATAGGCGAGGCGCGCAGTGTCGCCAGAACGGCGATCAGCAGACAGGAGGCCAAAGGGGCCGGGGCCGCACTGGAGGTTACGCCCAGCTGGCGCGGCGGTTGATCGCGCAGTAATACGTCCGAAGGAGGATTCCCCTAGCAGACGAGCAAGAGCAGGAGCAGGAGGGTGGAGCCGGTAGCAGGGAGAGAGCGAGCGAGGAACTGAGGAATGATGCTAGGGTTGACCTACCTTATACCTTCTCGCATGAGGGTGGTTCCCAGTCATCGACTGACGAGGAAGAGCAACAGGAAGTCGAGACTCATTCCACCAGAAGGGGTAGGCAACCCGACCAACGAACCGCATCTGCATTTCCCCCCCCAATGTCATATCGGGCCGCGAATGCAGCAGCACTTCGAGCCAACATGGCAAACGCAGCCCCACCTGAGAGGACCCCAGCCCCCCATTTCTCTCCAAAGCAAATGGCTGAGAATTCCGCAGAATTGATGGAAATTTCCACGTGGGACATTGGATCCCTTTGCGACTCTCGCCAACCCCCCCTGGCCCGCCACTTCCCTAGGATCATCAGGGACATTTTCGCTACATGTCTCCTGACACCTCTGCTACGATTGGCCCGACACCCTGACTCCCTCCAAGCCTGGACCCTCCTCCTCTTCCTCCCACGCCTGACACTCCGTGCCAGCTCAACCCGTAAACCTGATTGGGACGCGATTTCCGCACGACTGCTTCTCTTTCGCCAGGGGATGTGGAGCGAACTATACTCGGCTGCCTGCGAAGCGATCAACCTCCCTCCACCGCCCAGACACGTACCTGACGATGCTGGGAAGCTGACGAGAGCGACGGGGTTGGCGAAGAAGGGAAGCCTGGCAAAAGCCCTCCAGGCACTGGAAAGCACACCTGTGAGCCCCAACTCACCTGAAACACTCGAGGCTTTGCGACTGCGCCACCCCCTGAGCACAACAAATCCCCCTCAGTGGTTCGACCAGTACTCCAGCACCAACGCTCCAGCAATAACGCTAAGGGACCTACGCCAAATCCTCACGACTTGCGAAAACGGAGTGGGGGCAGGTCCCAGCGGCATGACTTTCGAACACGTACGGGACGCCACTATTTGCCACCCAGACGTAACAGAACATCTGCTGGCCCTGGTCAACACGACTCTCGCAGGGAAGTTGGCTAAAGAGGCTGCGAAGCTACTAACCGCCTCAAGGCTACTCGCCATCGCCAAACCCATGGGCCGGACCCGCCTTATCGCGGTGGGTGAAGTGATTCACCGCGTGATCGCGAAAGCCGCCCTTCTCCTCGCCTCACCGTTTGCCCGCCGCCACTTCGCCCCCATCCAGTACAGAGTTGCCACACCGGGAGGGGCCGAGGCGATCATCCACGCCTCCCGCACCTACCTCGAAGAAAACACCGATCATATCGCCCTCGAAATCGACATCACAAACGCCTTCAACGCGGTGGAGAGGGGAGCTGTCTTCGAGGGCCTCCGAGACTCACCTCTGGAGTTCCTCATCCCTTTCACAAGAAGCTCCTATGGCGCTCCTTCCGAACTCATCATCGACAACGCCTTCAACGCCGACAACCCCTGCTCTTCAAGCGGGTTGCGCCAAGGGGACCCAATGGGCCCCCTCCTCTTCGCCGCCGCAATCCACCCTGCTCTAAGGACACTGGCCGCCGCTCAACCAGTATTCGTCGTGCACGCCTACGTCGACAACATAACGCTGCTCGGCCCTTGACCCGACTGCACCGTCGCCTTCAACAGCCTCACCGCGGCCCTCTCTCCGGACTTAAGTCCTGGGCAGACCCGTGGGGCCGCCCGAGGACTGCGCCAACATTCTCCGCACCAGAATGGCCGAGGCTGTGGAGCCAGCGTCACTCCTCTCCCAGCTAGAACCGCAGCTGTGCCTCCTTCTTCTCACGCGGTGCATCAGCCGCCGTGTCTCCTACATTCTCCGCACCACACCCCCCGACTCCTTACCCTCCACTGACTGGGGCTCCTGGGGGGAAGGGAATTTGCACACATTACTGACCTCCGTTGCCATCGCCCTACCACGCCACCACGACGAGCAACTACAGGCATGGGGCCAAGCCTCCCTCCCACCTACCCGTGGCGGACTCAGCATAGCCGACCCTGCTGTGGAGCGATTCGCGAGCTTCCTCGCCTCATCTGCAGCCGCTTCCACCTCCTCTCATCACCATCCACCCCCTCCCCCCCCCCCACCCCCCAACCCCCAAGTGGCGGCGCTACTGCCTCTTTTCTCCGTGGACGATACCAGCGGCTCCCCGCTCCCACTGAGGCTGGCAACTGCAGAAGCTACACTGTCCATGGAGGCAGTCGGCATCCTCCACAAACTGCGGGAGGGAGGGGAACTAAAAAAACTACAGCACTCACTCTCCCTCCACGTCCACGCAGCCAGGGCCACAGTGCAGCTGCAGGAGAGCAGGATCCGTTCTGTAGCAGAAGCTCTAGCTCGAAGCTCCAGAATAGAAGTCTGTGTCGTCAAAGCACACAATTGTCTTTATTTTTGATATGCTGAGAAACCTTGATAGAGCAGAGAGAATTGCTTCTTCGCTGGGACGGCGGGTCTTGGATGTTGAGCCATTTGTGTCGAGAGAGAAGGTGTGCGAGGCGGTATTGTGGCCAGTTGAGGCCGATTGAGAGGGTTGGGAAGAAGTTCCCGCGTCTCCATTCCGCAATGTTTGGAGTCCTTGCTCCAAGCTGGTGAGTCGCTGAAGCAGTTGTGCGAGAACGCCGGTTCCAGTCGACGTCGTTTCCTCGGTTGTCGCAGCCAGATTGGGCTGCGCTTCAGCCGTCATATTCGTCTGACCACCAGATCCTCCGGCCATTCTTATACGCGAGCGTGTGCCGGACGCCACCTTTCGTTCGCCGAAGGTTTCGGAGGTGGCAGTGCGAAGGATTCCCGGGTCGCTCTCATACCATGCTGCGATCGGATGTTGATCGACCCTAGGATCACCTCGGGAAGGTTCGCACACAGATGATTGGTAGTGGTGGGCCCTTGACCTCAATTCAGAATGAATGTAAGATGATTGAGATAATTAAAGCATGCAAATACAAAGATATAATAAACAAGATGGAATGCGAAGCGACCAGCTAGCCATGTAGTGTAAGGGGTACATTCCCTTATTGCAGCGAAACCCAACCGTGCGACTCCAGACGGTTACGAAACTGTCCAGGCAGAATCCTCGCCACTGCTTGCTGCCTGATGCTATCTGCCTTGACGGTCCAGATGCTTCGTAACCGTATGACCCTTCGCGTCACTTCTGCATTTTCGCCTTCAGCCTCGGTACTGCATGTTTCGATTGCTATTGTCAGGAGTGCATAGTAACACTTCACATTTTACTATTCGTAACAGTAATGACAACATGTCTGACTGATAATCAGGGTGTCCAAAATGACAAGACTGATAATAAGGGAACCCAAAAAAAAAAAAAAATTAGCCCTAACTCCGACGGTCCAGATGCTCTGTAACCGTTCGCGACTCTTCGCGTCATTCCGAATTTTCGCCTTCGTACTCTTCATTGCGTTCCTTGCTTGCTACTGTTAGGAATGCACAGTAGTTTACCATTTACTATTCGTACACGGATACTAAGTGCGAGTTTCAATATAGATAGTACATTCCGGTTGTCTATTGATAGTCCCTCAATCTCTGGGTATCCATCGCATCAGGCCAAATAATGTAAAGGGTACCTACGAAATAAATGGGTGGGGGGGTGTGAAATTATTCCGAATAGGGTGTAGCTCAAATTTCATAGTACTAGTACTACCAACAAGCCCTCATTGAGTGCGAGTTGTAACAAGGATATAACACTTATAGCCAATGTTTCGCCAAAGCCGTGGTCATGTTGTCGCCAATATTCGCGACAAGCCATTTCTGAAGTTCTGGATGCTTCCATCCCATCACACCTTACGATTTTCAACCCAAACACACAGGTACGGTAATGGGGATTAGCTAGGTACGGAGTTTTTCGGGTTTAGCTGTTTGCTAACGCCGCTTCCTGCCCCGCATTTTAGTATCAGGCCCTCGACCCTGTATTAGTTCCTTGAACCACCGAAGCATCTTGGGTTTGACTTTAGAAACTGTTGAAGGAAGGGGTGGGAGAGGTTTCTTGCGGCCATGGCAGAACATCTCGCGTCCATCTTCGGCACGGAGAAGGACAGGGTGAACTGTCCCTTCTACTTCAAGATCGGCGCGTGCCGCCACGGCGATCGCTGCTCGCGTCTTCACAACAGGTGCTCTCTGACATCTTTGCCGGTACTCACCCACTCCCGCAGCGCATCGTTCCTCCCCTCGTGCCTCCCGTTCCGCTTCGTTATAACCTTTATCTGTCTCGCCTCGCTATTGTCATTCTTATCGCACCGTCATTTCTGCTCTGTGTTTCTTGTCATTTTCGTCGACAGGCCGACCATCAGTCCGACTCTTCTCCTGGCCAACATGTACCAGCGGCCCGACATGGCGACACCGGGCGGCGAGCCGGACAAGACGATGGATCCGAAGAAGATTCAGGAGCACTACGAGGACTTTTACGAGGATCTGTTCGAGGAGCTCAGCAAGTACGGCGAGCTCAACAGCCTCAACATCTGCGACAACCTCGCCGACCACATGGTCACTTCGCCAACCCTCGAGCTGCCTGCTCCACGTTGCCCATCTTGATCTTTTTAATCTGTTGTTTTTTTTTTTTTTTTTTTTTTTTTTTACACGACGCTTTGTTGATCGCTTCGTCTTGCGTGGAGATTACGTGCGTTTGACTGACCGTTTGGTGTGTGTGTGATGCGCGGGCAGGTGGGCAACGTGTATGTCAACTTCCGCGAGGAGGAGCAGGCTGCTACGGCTCTCAGAGCGCTCACTGGCCGCTTCTATGCAGGTTGGTGTCTCGTCGTTGCTTACTTTGTCGCGCAGCTTCTCCGTGCCCCTTTTCCGCGTCAACTTAGCCGCTCACTCATGCAAATGATCCACCTTGTGTTCGGCCGCACCATCCGCCGCACCATCCTCCTTACAATCCGCTTCGTTCTCTCTTCACTGGCTCTCAGGGCGGCCTATCCTGGTGGACTTCTCGCCCGTCACCGACTTCCGCGAGGCCACGTGTCGCCAGTACGAGGAGAACACGTGCAACCGTGGCGGCTATTGCAACTTCATGCATCTGAAGAAGATCAGCAGGTGCCCTTCCCACGCCGCCTCCCTCTCGGCCCTTCACTTCGAAACCTCTTTAACCGCACGGCATTCCAGCTTTGAAGCTGTTTCTCCTTTTCTGCATATGCTATTGCCGTCTCAGTTCACGCAACAATTTTTGCAACATCTTACTTATTTCTTGGTACACGTTTTTATTTACTTCCAGGGAGCTTCGACGTAAGCTTTTCGGAGACAGGAGGCGGAGCCGCAGTCGCAGCCCCCCTCGCGGCGGCGGCGGCAGAAACGACCGTTATGACGACCGTCGCGGCGGCGGTTACGGCCGCGGAGGCGGGTACGGCGGCGGAGGCCGCGGCCGCGACCGCTACGACGACCGCCGCTTCGACGACCGGCGTCGCGGGCGGCGGTCGCGCAGCCGCAGCAGAAGCCCCGTGCGCGAGGGCAGCGCGGAACGGCGCGCAAAGATCGAACAGTGGAACCGCGCGCGGGAGGAGCGGGACAGGCCGCCTGCTGGCGGAGGGGGAGGCGGAGGGTACGAGGGAGGGGATCGCGGGGGTGGCGCAGACAGGGGAGGGTACCAGGGGGGAGGCGGGGGTGGGTACGATGGGTACAACGGCGGGTATGGCGGAGGCGCGGGGGGTGGTGGCGGCGGCAGGGGAGGCTACGATGCGTATGGTGCTGGCGCTGGCGGCAGTGGTGGGTACCAGGACGGAGCTCCGCCGCGTGACTATGGTGCGCCAGTGGACGCGCGGGGGGGATACGGGCCTCCTGCAGGGGACTACAGGGGCGCGCCAGGGGGGTACGGCGGTTACCAGGGCGACGGCAGGGACGGAGGGTACGGCGCTGGTGGTGGTGGTGGTGCACCACTGGTGCTGCCACCACAGCAGGTGAAGCATGAGCAGCGCGAGTATGACGGGTATGGAGCAGGAGGTGGCGGGGACAGGCGCGACTACCCTCCGCAGCAGTACTAAGTGCCTGGCGCACTGAAACCCCCCTGAGGGTGTATGCTGTGGCCTTCTGTTGTGCTAGTTTGGGTGTTTCTGCAGCTGCAGGGCGGCATTACTAGCGCATTGCCTTTGAAGGCGGCTATTGAGGGCCTCATCTGCAGGGGGCGTGGGCGCAGCACCTCATTCTGTCGTCAGGGCATGATCTATCTGTGTGGCTGTTCCACAGGCATTCAACAATGCCATGACGCCAAGCTCGCTGAGACCATCAAGTGGACTTGAGACCTTTCTGCTGACAAGCAGGGGCCTAAAGTGCGGCGTGCTGCGTTGGCGTTCTCTCTTAGATCCCTCTTGTATTGCCCTTGTGCAGGGTGGCACCATGAGAGGCCGTGCTGAGGTCCTCTTATGTTCTCCCTCTGGTTTATGTGCATGCGCTTGCATGTTCTTTGTGGGATGCAGGGCATTTGTTTTGCAGGATTACAGGGTAGCAAGACAGGATTTGTTTGATTGCTTTTTTGTTCAGGCTGAATCTTGTTCTGCTTGTGTGCAGCATGCAGGGTCAGGGAACAGGGGTAGCAGGTCAAGTGTCAGTTTCAGGGGCTGGTTATAGGGAAAGAGTTTGGAACAGGCAAGCAAGAACAGGTGTAGGGCTGCAGGAACAGGTGCAGGGTTGTAGGGGCGAGAACAGGTGCAGTGTTGAAGGAGAATTAACAGGTCCAGGGTTGAAGGAACCGGAACAGATGCAGTAACAGGTTGAAGAGGCAGAAACAGGTGCAGGGTTAACATGACAATCATTAACAGGTACATGCAGGGGCATGCAGGGGCATAAATGCTAGTATGGGGCTGTAAGGGTTCAAATTTGGTGCAGAGCAGCTGCTAGTTTACAAAGCCAGAAACAGTACCATTCTGAACAGGTGCTTTTGCAGAGCCAGCACAGGAACTGTGGACAACTGACTTAGCCTTGCAGTGAGGTTATCGTAGTTGAGAGATACGTATCAATCATTATCTATCAGTGATGGCAGGGAAGAATCGTACATTCTTGGTGCCAAATCAATGTTATTCCACTAGCTTGGACAGGTGCGTATGTATCTTTAAAACCCGCGTCTCATATTTCCTAGTGTATTACACTTGGTTGGGCTAAATCGCATGTGATTGGGTAACGATAGGCGAGATTTGTGACGAGCAGTTTTGAAAACACAAACAACCCCTCGGTTCGTCTACGCAAAAGCCAAACAAGCCCCTCAGACATGGAAAGCTCCCACACCTAGAAAACAGATCCGGCAGTTCCATGCGACCGATTGAAACGACAAGACACAAGTCGCCCACATCCACCAGGAAACGCAGAGCAAAACTCTCGGCCGTCAGTCTTACTACATCCGCTTAGGCAGGTTCCTAGGTATGTACCTCCACACCAAGATGCTGGCCTTAGCACAGCAACAGGGATATAGCAGTCTATTAGAGCCCATTTCGGACCCCTTCGGGTGTCAGAATCCCAACCACTAGACCATTGGGATAAAAGGGCTTGTTAAGTAGCGGGTCAGTGCGCCCATAACCCCCCAGGCCAACATGCCTGTAACCCTTCCCTAGGATCAATCGGGGATCACCAGTGGACCTCTGACACCCCCCCGCACTGGGATGCCCGAAGTGCACACACTGGGATTCGAACCCGAGACCTTCGCTCTGATACCATGTCAGAATCCCAACCACTAGACCATTGGGATAAAAAGGCTTGTTAAGTAGCGGGTCAGTGCGCCCATAACCCCCCAGGCCAACATGCCTGTAACCCTTCCCTAGGATCAATCGGGGATCACCAGTGGACCTCTGACATCGGGGGCCTTGCGAACAAATTTTACTTGCGGATGACGCACTAGTTGGCGAGTAAGGAATCGTCCAATGTCGGGAACCGTCGCAACGCCATCGCTTGTTACGAGGTAGCCAGTTCGTAACATTCCGAAATGCGTTTTTACTCTGCTATTTACAGCTGTGGAACCCGGAGAGGTGATGTCTCATTTCAGAATGCGCTCGTGTCGTCCATCTACGCCAAGCGCAAGTACGTGAAAGGTTCTGCCGTCCTGGGTCTGTGTGCGAGTGGCATATGTGTGGGGTGTGTGTGAAATCTTAGTTGCGTGCGCTTGTGTGCGCGTGCATGCGTGCGTGCGCGAGCGTGCGCGTGTGCGTGCGCGTACTGTCAGAGTTATATGACATAGCTACTGTAGGCTATAGTGGGGTAGCACATATGGGGTACAGTTGCCTAGGGTTTGCCTTTTGTACCCAACTTTCACTTAGTCATTTCATTCCTGTTTTCTTGATTCACATGGTATAGAGCGGGTTCCTACATGGGACCGTTCCTTCCTAAGGGCCCACCATAAGATTTTTTTTTTTTTTTTAGCTGCCCGCGCACATTGCGCCCTGCCCTAATTTTTTTTTTTAGCGGCCCCTATGCTGCCCCTACGCGGCCCCTACGCCGCCTCCCACGCGCCCCCTATGCGGCCCCTGGCGGCGCCCTGACGAGGCCCCTGCCGGCGCCCTATCGCGGCCCCTGACGCGCCCCCTGGTGGCGCCCTGACGCGGCCCTGACGCGGCCTGACGCGGCCCCTGGCGGCGCCCTGACGCGGCCCTGCCGCGGCCCCTGACGCGGCCCCTGACGCGGCCCTGACACGGCTCTGCCGCGGCCCTGACGCGGCCCTGACGCGGCCCTGCCGCGGCCCCTGGCGGCGCCCTGACGCGGCCCCTGACGCGGCGCCCTGACGCGGCCCCTGCCGCGGCCCTGACGCGGCCCTGCCGCGGCCCCTGACGCGGCCCTGACGCGGCCTGCTGCGGCCCCTGCCGCGGCCCTGAAGCGGCCCCTGACGCGGCCCTGACGCGGCTCTGCCGCGGCCCTGACGCGGCCCTGACGCGGCCCCTGCCGCGGCCCCTGGCGGCGCCCTGACGCGGCCCCTGACGCGGCGCCCTGACGCGGCCCTGCCGCGGCCCCTGACGCGGCCCCTGCCGCGGCCCGTGACGCGGCCCCTGACGCGGCCCCTGTCGCGGCCCCTGACGCGGCCCCGCCACCTACCTTTCCGGCCACGCCGCCTCCTCTCAGCGGCCCCGCCGCCTCCTCCCAGCGGCCCCGGACGCCGCCCTCTCAGCGGCCCCGCCGAGCCGCCCAGCAGCCTAGCCGCCCAGCAGCTGAGCCACCGAACCGCCCAGCAGCCGAGCCGCCGAGCCGCCCAGCAGCCGAGCCGCCCAGCAGCAGAGCCGCCGAGCCGCCCAGCAGCCGAGCCGCTGAGCCGCCCAGCCGCCGAGCCGCCCAGCAGCCGAGCCGCCCAGCAGCCGAGTCGCCGAGCCGCCCTGCAGCCGAGCCGCCCGAGCCGCCCTGTCCGGTAAGAGCAGCGCCTCTCTCACAGCACTGCCCTCACCCCACTGTTTGCGCTGCTAGTCTACTGCTGTCATGGCTACCCCTAGTGTCCTCGCTTTTGACGCTGAGGGTCGGGCCATTGACTTTGACGTCTGGATAGATGACCTGCAGCTTTTCTTACAGTGCGATAGGGCAGACGGCCTCTCCCTCTTTGACCTCACTTCTGGTGCCTCTCCTGCTCCCGCCACTGATGCTGACGCAACTGTTCGCTCCCAGTGGGCCACGCGCGATGCTGCTGCACGTCTTGCTGTGCGTCGCCACCTGCCTACCTCTGAGCGTGCGCACTTTAGCCAGTACAAGAGTGCTCAGACCTTGTACGACGCTGTAGTTGCACGCTACTCCTCCCCTGCCACTGCTGCACTGAGTCGCCTCATGCTACCGTACCTCTTCCCTGACCTTGCTGCCTTTCCCACAGTCGCTGACCTCATTACGCACCTACGCACTAGTGACACTCGCTACCGCGCTGCGCTTCCTGCTGAGTTCTGCGCCAAGAACCCCCCCCCCATGTACATCACCCTCTACTACATAGTCACCCGGCTCCTTGACTCCCTTCGCGTAGTCAGGGACCACTTCCTCTCAGTTTGCCCCACCACTCTCACCGTTGACCTCCTCGAGAAGTCCCTCCTAGCAGCAGAGAAGAGCATAGTAGCTGTAGGAGCCTCTCGTGGTGACGCTCAGGCAGAGCTTCGGCTCGGACTTTCCTGTTCAGCGTCTGCACTCTGACAGAGGTGGAGAGTTCTCCTCTGGCCTTCTGCGAGCCTACTGTCGTGCACGAGGCATCCGCCAGACCTTCACGCTTCCGGACTCTCCACAGCAAAATGGGATTGCTGAGCGCCGCATTGGCATGGTCATGGACGTCGCCCGTACGTCCATGATGCATGCGGCTGCCCCCCATTTTCTGTGGCCGTTTGCGGTTCGGTACGCGGCGCATCAGATCAACCTTCACCCCAGGGTCTCCATGCCGGAGACCTCCCCAGCTTTGCTGTGGACGGGGAAGGTTGGCGATGCGTCTGCGTTCCGTGTCTGGGGATCTCGGGCGTTTGTCCACGACTTGTCTGCGGACAAGCTGTCCCCTCGTGCTGCTCCTTGCGTCTTCCTTGGCTTCCCCCCTAACGCGCCAGGGTGGCAGTTCTACCACCCCACCTCTCGCCGTGTCCTGTCCTCCCAGGACGTCACGTTTGACGAGTCGGTCCCCTACTACCGCCTCTTCCCCTACCGCACTCCGTCCCTCCCCCCGCCACCGCTCTTCCTTGTCCCAGGTCCCCCCCGGTAGACCCCCTCCCCCCTCAGGGTCCTGCCCCTTCAGGTGTGTCCCAGGTAGACGCAGTCGAGCCTGTCGAGGTTACTGGTGACTCTGGTGCTGCTGAGGGTGCTGAGCCTGGGGGTGCTGACTCTGGGGGTGCTGAGCGTGTGGGTGCTACGCCTGGGGGTGCTGAGCCTGAGGGTGCTACTACTGGGGGTGCTGAGCCTGAGGGTGCTGAGCCTGGGGGTGCTACTACTGGGGGTGCTGAGCCTGGGGGTGCTGAGCCTGGGAGTGCTACGCCTGGGGGTGCTACGCCTGGAGGTGCTGAGCCTGGGGGTGCGGAGCCTGAGGGAGCTGCGCCTGCTCGTGTGGCGTCTGGCGGTGCTG